GGAGGGGGCCCGCGGGGGCCCCCGGGCGCGCCTGTGCCGCCGATGGGGCGGATAAGGGTGGCTGGGGGCTAGCAGTGGGGCTGGCAGCGGGCGTCCCCACGGCCACCCCGCTCCCCAGGGACGGCCGGCGCCGGCGCGGCTCAGCCCTCCGTAGCCATCAGAGAAGCCATCCACAGCACCAGCACCGGTAACCGCAGTCCCCTCCAACTGGCCCCATTAACCCCATTAACCCCCAGCCCAGCTAACCCAGCGCCTTGCTAACCCGCAGCCCAGCTAACCCCCAGCCTGGGTAGCTCACAGCCCGGCTAACCCCCAGCCTGGTTACTCTGCAGCCCAGCTAACCCACAGCAGGGTAACCCGCAGCCTGGTTACTCTGCAGCCCGGTCAGCCCACAGCTGGGTTAATCCACGGGCAGATTACCCTGCGGCTGGGATGACCTGCACCCCGGGTAACCCACAGCCAGGGTAACCCACAGCCCGGCTCTACCAGTGTGGCTAATCCAACGTGGCTAACCCACAGCCCAGCTACTCCAGCATAGCTAATCTGTGGCCCCGCTAATCCACAGCCCAGCTAATCCAGCGTGACTAACCCACAGCCCAGCTAATCCAGCATGGCTAATCTGTGGCCCTGCTAAGGCACAGCCCGGCTAATCCAGTGTGACTAACCCACAGCCCGGTTAACCCACCGCTTGGTTCACGGGCAGCCCAGTTAACCCACAGCCACTAACCCGGAGCCCGGCGGGTCCCCACTTGCCCCCCGTGGGGACCTGGGGGGGGGACGGGGACGCTCCAGCCCCCTCCACCCAAACGCCCTTGAAACGCCCCGTCCCCAGGGACCTGAGCCCACGGGGGGGTTAACCTTCCCCAGCGCCAGGCTGAGACCACCCGGTATTGTTACACCAGTGGGGGGGGACCCAGGAAGAGCGAGGTGCTTGGGGGTTCCCTGTTTGGGGGTGACCTCCTGGGGTGGGGAAGGGGCCACCCCCGGGGCCTCAGGCCTCATACCCGGGGGCTGCGGGGACATCTCGGGGACGGGTGGCCCTGGAGATGCCCGGTGGGGAGCAGGGTGGGCACGGCTGGGGGCTGCTGTGCCCCTCCATCCTCCGTCCCTCCAGGTCCCCCTGCGCTGGGGAGAGAAGGGGGACACCCACGGGGAGCGGGGACATGGGGACTTGGGGACACGGGGACATGGGGCACCAGGGCAGGGGGATAGGGGGACTTGGGGATGTGCAGAATGGGGACATGGGGATACAGTGACAGGGGGATGTGGGGTAGAGGGGGAGACAGGGACACGGGGAGACGGGGACGCAGGGACGCAGGGGGACAGGGACATGGGGTTGTGGGGGTATATGGGGCCACGGGGACATGGGACACGGGGACGTGAGGTTGTGGGGTCATGGGACACAGGGATGTGGGGAGATGGGGACACAGGGATGCAGCGCTGCAGGGGACACAAGGATGTGGGGCTCCGGGGGACACAGGGACGTGGGGCTACGGGGGGGCGTGGG